TCACGATTCTGTACACTATAATGCAATTAACCAATACCATTAGCTTTGTAAAGGTTCAAGCAATGCAAAACAATGATTAGAACATGTTAATGATGCATAAAATGTGAGTTTCGATTCTGAAAAAGTTAAGCAAACCGTGGGTCTGTGAATGGTGATTTCTTGAGCTTTGGCGTGTGATTCTGATTGCAAAAGGTCCCTGAGAGTTCCAGCAATGTATTAGAAATAAGAAAAGCCTTTGAATCACGTTGGAATGTGGAATTCAGTTTTCACTTTGCTTTGATTTTTTTCAATATTGGCTATGGCTTTCTGCAGCAATTCTCACGTTTCATGCATTAGGGTTAGGTTCTGTATATATAATGGACTGAATTTAGGTTAAATCTTTGACCAAAAATCCATGGAATTGATGTTTCAATATTTGATTGAAAATCAAATATTTTTCAATCTTTTTGATTGAAGAAAGTTGCTAAATTTGGAGTTTTTGATATCCTTGATTGGCACACGAAATCTCCAGCATATATTGGTCATCTTTGCTTCACCAAAAAATTGAGAAATCATATCTTTGAATTTCCTACATTTTAAATTAATTAAATGAATTAAAAATCAATTAAAAATCCAATTAATTAATAAAAATAAGAAAATAATTCAATTTAATCTCAATGGGTCGTGCATAAGCCTTGGATAAAGATTCAAGAAGAAATTTGAGGCCCATTAGCAAAAACAAAGTATTTTGAGCAAAGTTGACTTTTGCAAATTCACATAAATTTCCCAACTTCTCCAATGCATATCTTGCTCAATTTTGATCATATGAACATTGTCTTGGACATTTTGGAAAGGTCTTGAAGTCCTCTAACCAATGCCTTTGGTCCCATGTCATTTGGAATTACCAATATCAAGTTATGGTCTTTGACTTAAAGTGCATTTTTGTTGACTTTTGAAATTGACCTATAATGTAGAAATTGATAACTTTTTGTGAGAGCATTTATTGGACTTGGAATGTGAAGATGAGTTGTAAGAAATGTCATCCCCTTCAAAATGAGCATTGGATGGGATTTTTCTGATGAAACATGAAAAAGTTATGCCCTGGTCAAGTTACAGTTGACTTTTCTACTGTCCAAAAATAGTAACTTTTGCATCTTTGATGATATTTGAGCCATGCTTGTGGAATCATGATCAAGACTTGATCAAATGATGATTGTGGACTCAAAATAAGATGTTGACCGAAAATTCCGAGTTTTGACTGTAAAATGACCATTTTACCCCTGCAGTTGACTATGAAGCAAATGGGACTTTTAACTGTGCAAACTGGCATTGTGAGTCTTGAAACTTGGCATGTAGGTGCTTGAAAATGTACATAGGCCTATGGGACTTGATTTAGCCATTGAAAACCTCAATTTCTTTGCAAGAACCAAAACCCTAATTTTGACTGGCTTAGGAGGCATTTGAACTGTGCAATCCTTGAGGAATCTTGAACCATTTGAAGATGATCCTTGATAAATCTTGAAGAATATGGGAGGGAAATTTTGGGGTATAACAGTTGCCCCTGTTCAATCTTCTTAAACCTGAGGATGTAGATTGGCTTGCGTGCCTTTCGTGATCCGAAGGTGGAAGATGATTGAACACTAGAGTGCCCAGAAATTTGCACTCGCATAGTGTAGTATCAGCAATGTGATGTCGGGAATGGGCTTATAGATGCCATTTGGAAATGTAATGGATAGGAGGATGGGCTTATAGATGCCATCTGGAGATGTGACAGAATCTTATCGGGAATGGGCTTATAGATGCCATCTGGAGATTGTAATGGATGGTTGTGGAGATGGGCTTAAAGATGCCATCCGGGGATTGTAATTTTGTAAGTTGAAAGAGGGAACCTGTGTAGGGTTTCCTAATGACGAGTCCGTGTAAAACTGCATCTTTGAAGGAAGGAAACCTGTGTAGGGTTGACTGATGACGAGTCCGTGTAAAACTCCATCTGGAGCTGAGAAGGAAACCTGTGTAGGGTTTCTTGATGACGAGTCCATGTAAAACTGCATCTGGAACTTAGAAGGAAACCTGTGTAGGGTTTCTTGATGACGAGTCCGTGTAAAACTGCATCTTTGAAAAGAGAGAACCTATGTAGGGTTTCTTGGTGGCGAGTCCGTGTAAAACTGCATCTTTGGAAAGAGAGAACCTGTGTAGAGTTTCTTGGTGACGAGTCCATGTAAAACTACGTATGGAGTTGAGAAGGAACCGGTGTAGGGTTACTTCGGGATAAGTTCGTGTAAAACTTCTGGATGAACCGGGGTAAGGTTATTGCGAGAAAAGTTCATGTAAAAATTCAGGCTGAACCGGGGTAAGGTTACTGTGATAAGCTCGTGTAAAACTTCAGGCTGAACCGGGGTAAGGTTACTGTGATAAGTTCGTGTAAAACTTTAGGAGGAACTGGGGTAAGGTTACTTTGAGATAAGCCCGTGTAAGACTTCGTCTTGGAACTGAGGAGGAACCGGTGTAGGGTTGCCTGAGGACGAGTCCGTGTAAAACTTCGTCTTGGAAGGGAGAAGGAACCTGCGTAGGGTTACTTTGATGATGAGTCCGTGTAAAAATTCATCTGAAAGGAAGGAACCTGTGTAGGGTTTCCTGATGATGAGTCCGTGTAAAACTTCATCTGAAATTGAGAAGGAACCGGTGTAGGGTTGCCTTATGATGATCAAGTAGATAATTGTCCTGTCTGGTTTCAGGTATTAACCCACGATTAGTCATCCACAGAATTTTCCTGGCTTGTTACAAGTGTTGATCTGGAACTGCAAAGGTAGATGGTAATCATCTTTTGATTGACCTTTTCCTGAAAAGTCAAAACATTAGTTGTATGCAATGTCATGGTGTATGAAATGCATGATATTAAGATGTTCTCAAGAATAAATGAGATTTGTGTTGTATGATGCATATGCATGTCATAATGTATGAAGATGTGATGTTTTTTAATGTATTTTCGTCTGGGAAAATAAATCCTTGACGAATGCCGGGAGCTTGTTTAAATCCTAGGCTGATGTTGAAGAGTAGACGCTGGGGATGATGAACAAAGAATAAACCGGTAGGAGAAGAAGACTCCGTTGGGGAATAAACCTGGTGAGGAGATTAGCCTGCGGGGAATTACTCTGTGGGAAGAGGTACTTCGCTGAGATTTTAATGATAACTCCGCTGGGGATTCCGTTGATAAGCTCTGTTGAGGAACTTGATGAACTCCGCTGGGGATAGGAAGAACTTCGCTGAGGACGATTTTTCCATTGTAATTTGCTGAGGATAACCCAGTTAGACTCTGGTGGGGGATAACCTTCTGAATATGGCTAGGGAGAGATGTTTGTACTCTGCAGGGGACAAGCTTCCAGAATCTAGTGGGGAGGATTCAACTCTCCTGGGGAAACTTTTGGACTGCACTGGGGAAATGGCTCCGCTGGGGTGTCTTGTATTCCGCTGGGGAACAATCTTATATTAAGACTGCCGGGGATGCTTGCTGGGGAACGTTTGTATACTCCGCTGGGGATTATTGAGATTTTCTGGGGGTATCCAGCTTCCTTAGGGCTGACAGTAGCCTAACTCTGCTTGGGGAGAGAGTATTGCTGACTGGTTGGGGATACTGTGCCTTTTCGGGGCTGATTGGGGACCCAACTCTGCTTGAGGAGAGAGCATGGCTGACTCTTGTCTTACTCTGCGGTGAGTGAAGGTATCCTGGTCATGTTCTTCAGCTGACCTTACCTTGTACCTGGGTGGAAAGAGCAACCAGATCGCTTAGACAATTCTTATTGCCCCAGCTTCTATGGGAGAAGGTACCTGCGAAGGCGTTTGATAACTGCCGATTTGACAAATCTTCTTCTGGTAGGCGAGTGACGAGATGCCGGGACATAGTCGTACGTTGTGATCCCTAACTTTTTCCTGGACCGCCCTTTTGGGTTTTCAGTCCACCGGGATACCCTTTTTTGCCCAAGCCGCCTTTTCAGGTTTTCGACTTGTCGGGTGTACGGATTTTTTTATTTCATCCCTTATTTTTGCCCGAACCCTTTTGGTTCGCCGGGAAGCCCTTATTTTTCCTAGGTGTTTCAACCTAGTGGGTCTTTGATTATCACTACAAGAAAATTAGTGTTTAACGACACAAAAATTGCGACAGTTATGTGATAACTGTCGTAATTGACATATAGAGACAGTGTTTACGACAGTTGACACCAACCGTCCCTAATATTTATTTTGCGACGGTATATTTAACCATCATAATATTATTATTACGACGGTAAAACAACCGTCGGCCCCCATTTAACACTTTTAACATTGATTTTTCACCAACAACTAGTCACGACGGTAAAATTAACCGTCCTAAAAGGCATATCACGACGGTAAAGCACCCGTCGCACCCTTAAACCTTTCACGACGGTAAAATTATCCGTCCTAAAATTCATTTCACGACGGTAAAACAACCGTCGCACCCAAAACCTTTAAAAATCTCTTGCTAACTTATATATTTTATCTAATTATAATTGTTATGTATATTTAAGTTCTCTCTAGTTAAGGTTAAGTTTATGCATTATTATATATTCTATGAATTTGATACGACAATGGTGTTATGTTCAATTTAATCAATCAAATAAATTTAATCTTTCATCTTTTTCTCAATGCTTGTTATATTTGTATTATGCTTGAGGAGGATCTATGAGATGTCGAGACGGTCTGATAGGATTAGACCAAGGGTAACTTATGGTTATGCCTCGAAAGACATGACTTTTATAACATGATATGTGGATTTAATTGATGTTGAAAAATGATTTTAAGTTTATACCTAAATAATCATTTATCATGAGCTAAAGTATATACATAGAGCTTGACATAATATTCACATATATAGTTGAAACACAATGTTATTGTTAAATTTATACCTAATCCTAACTAAACATAAATTGAGTTGCACATTTCCTCTGAAGTTAGAATTTTGATAAACCCATCTCGCAGCCATTACAAATCGTGTATTGAAGTGAAGAATGCTTCCTCAGCGAATGAAGAAAGCCGTTACTGATAACCCTAAAAAGCTCGCAAACTTTATCGATCTCGTTAACCTTCCTCCCACTCTCAGAGACTTCGTCGGTCAATCTCAGACTTCTCGATTAACCTGTTTCATGCGTGTTTGGTCCTACGTCAAAACCAACAATCTTCAGGTTCTGCTTTGTTTTTTCAACTCATGAAAATTGATTCACATCAAAGTAATTGTTGTTATTGTTCTGTTTTCATAATTGGAGAATTTAAACTTCGGCGACTTCAAGTTCGCTTCCGTTCCCAATCAACCACTCCCTTCCACCTCCGGTTGGGGCAACTTCGTCAACCATTCCAATCACATCAATGGCACCACCGTTTCAAAACCCTCTGATCCATTTACAGTTTCCCCGGATCCCCTCGGGAAAACCGCAAACAAAGCTTGCTGAGCTATTCCGCTTTCAATCTTCGGCGAGGAAGAAGATGATGAACCTGTTTCTGATTCCAGTTCCAATGATTTTTTCTCCAACGGTGGTGGTGCTGTTGTGAAAAAGGGATCCGATTCGAATGGTTCCGTTGGAATTAGTGATTTGATTTCCAATTTGTATCATCAGCAAAACGGATCAGCTTTGAAATCCAATGTCGGCTCTACCAGTCCGAAGAAATCGAGTGTAAACGATTTGAATCAGGATGAGGACGACGACGAGGACGATGGATGGGAATTCAAGTCTGCGGAACGGGAAACGGTAAATGAAAACTTCAATGTTAAGGTAAATTGGGTGAAGCTTACGTGAATGCTAGAAACTAGTATAAATTTTGTATTCATTCATTTCAATTTTGTATATTTATGTTTTGGAGTAATAATATATTAAGAAACTAAGTTTTTGGCCTTTGGGCAAGAGGTTCATTTCGTGTTTCTTCATAATAACACGTGCTTGCTTAAATATAAAGACCTTTTTTTCTCTTCTTCATGAATTGCATTTGATTGAAGTGATATTATGTATTATATTTTTAATTAAGGTTGAAACGCCCAAGCATGGTAACAGTGCAGTTGGAGCTGGTGCTTTGTTAGACTCATCTGACAAAGTTGGTGAACGGAACCTGGGGTTTGAGTTCAGTCCTATTTCTGCATCTCACAGCCTACAACTAAGTCCGAAAGGTGAATCAAATGAAAATGGAGCTGGGTTTACCATGTTCAATCAAACTTTTGGGAAGTTGGCAAATGCACATTCATGGCCAGGATCAAATCAAACTTTGGTTGGTTGTTTCAACATTGTTTCCTCATTTTATGTATCATTGTTTAGATTGTCAAGGAATATGCATTAATACAATCTGATTATGGATAAATGTGTGGTTAATGTGACTGCATTGAATCCATTTTGAGTGAACCCCTTCTTCTCAAGAAACTGAGCTGCACCTTTAAAGCTCTTCACAAAATCAATTTGATTGTCACACTTTGGACCGCATTCATCATTGCTATTCGTCCATAACTCATACTCAACTCTGTCGTCCGGATGCGGAAGAGCCTCTCTCCAATCAAGATTTATGTGAACAACCTCACCATTCAAGAGAGCTTTCTTGATTCTGTCCCCCAAGGATTTGCTGATAAGAGTAGAAGGAATACTAACCTCTGCAATTTAGGTGAACAAATTTTGATCATATGTTTTTTTAGAGAATCTTATTTACATTATTACATAATCTGCTTTTGACAGTCAATGTACAGTCGCTATCTGGATCTCCTTCCAATTTCCAAGTTTACACTGCTTTATTGAAACCTCATGAGAGAATTATGGCACTCGATCTTCCCCATGGTGGGCATCTTTCACATGGATATCAGGTAAGTTCTGCTTTTAATTACCATTTGTGTTCATTGCACCTGCTGCCATGAGTTGACAACCATAGCAAGTATGCACTAGCCACTAGGATATGACAAATAAATGTTGCTGCAAAAATGGCACTTAAGTGACTGGTATATTGTCATTTTTTTTGTTTTTGCTTATTTAGGTAAGAAAACAATTTATCAAGGAAAGAAATTAAAACAGGACTTCTCTTAAGACAACAAAAAAAATTTAGTAAATAAACAAAAGGGAAAAGAAGTCGGTTAAAAAATGTATTATATAGGAAGTATGAGCAGTTGTGGTCAAAATCATACAAGGAAGCTAAGAAAAAAAATCCTTTCCTTAAATTATGCGTGAGAAAGAAATTCAAATATTTCAAATCATATTCTAGCCAAATAAACTTGTGATTAAATTAATTCTCTCTAAACTTCTTTCTTAGATTATAAATGGACCAGACACAGTCTATAAGCATTTCAATAGAGCCAAACCATTTATAAAATATTTGCATCTCATAAAATTGAAAAACAGTGTACTGTATGCAAATTACAAATTAGAAGCCTCTTAACTTTTCAGTCTTACTGAAAGACCCCTAATTTTACCTCACTCTCAATCTTTCTTTTACAATGCCATCTACTAGTTTCTTTTAATTATTTTACACTTGTGTTAGTTGTGGGATTAGTAGGCTAAGCCAATGCAGAATTTTCCCAATGCTCTTTCAAAATGGCTCTAGATTCACATCTGTTGCTTGACATTTACTTTCCATTTTGCTGTTAAATTGTTGTTTTGTTAAAAAATTTAGAACAATGTATATCCTATTTCTCTATACAAACTTTCATTTATATCTTTGTGTCATGCAGACTGACACCAAGAATATATCAGCCGTATCTATATTCTTTGAAACAATGTCGTACAAATTGGACGAGAGCACTGGTTATATTGATTATGACCAGGTAGGCAGGTAGCATTGTATTTCTGTATTGTGGACATGTCTGTTTCAATCAAAGACAATTTTTCTAGTTCTAAGTAGCCAGTATTGTTTTTGTTTCACTTGTTGTCACCTTTACCTTTGTCAATATGCAAGTGTTTTCTCATTCAATGTTTGGTTATAGCGTTAGCTTTTGTGCTTATTGACAGTGCTTTTTATCTTTCTTGCATGTCCTAGATTTAAACATGTACTTTATGGCTTGACTTATCTAATATACCTGCAGATGGAGAAAAGTGCTGCACTTTTTAGGCCAAAATTAATAGTTGCCGGTGCTAGTGCTTATGCCCGCCTTTATGATTATGCACGTATTTGCAAGGTAAGCTATATCTGATTATAGAAACTTAGATATTTTATGTTCTTAACATTGTAGTGATGATATTGTGTCTTTCACATTTGAATTGTTTTAGGTCTGTGATAAACAGAAGGCATTTATATTCTTAACGCAAAGGGACAAGGCGAGGACAAAGGAAATTGAACTCTTAATGCAAATGCAGAATTTTAGTGGAAGACAGGTATATTATTTTGACGCATTTAAAGTTAAATTTTATGAGTATTATTTTAAAGATTATTATTTTAATACCTTTTTTTAGGGATTGGAATCACCCGCTGATGGTAGACGTTCATCTGAGTCTAGCTACCGTATTGGAGATAATGGAACTTCAGGGGGGACAAATTAGACTTTGCTATGATCGAGATAATTAGATTGTGAACTTTCTCATGTATTTTTGGCATAATGATACTTATTATTATAAGATTAGGAATTGATATATTTTGGGTTTTTTGTACTACTTGACATGATTATGGAACTCGCATTTTACATGATTATGGAACACACATTTTTTTGGATATTATAATGCTTATTTGATGTTAAATATTTTTTATTGAAATTATTTTTACTATATTACAAAGTGATAGAAAATAAAACAAAAAATAATACTATAAATAAATATATTAAAGAAGAAATAATTTAAAGAAAAAAATAACAAAAAAAATTAAAAGATATTCACGACAGTATCGAACCGTCGCCATAAACAATTTAATCAATTTCAAAAGATATTCACGACAGTATCGAACCGTCGCCATCAATAATAAAAAGAAACTCAAAAGATAGTCACGACGGTATCAAACAGTCACCAATACTTGATTATGTCATCTCCAAACCCGTCGTAAACTTGAACGACAGTTTTTGTAACCGTCGCGAAATAGGTTGGGGACACACACTTCTGCGACGGTAAAGCAACCGTCGTGGAAAGCAAATTGCGACGATTTTAACCTTCGTAATCTACAAAAATACCTGTCGCAATCTGCCAATTTTCTTGTAGTGTATGTGCAGTATTTTTTCGACTATGTCCACGCTCTCAGAATGTAGGGAGTTGTCCCTGTCAGTAGTGTTGTGTCGCCATACTACCAGAAGATGTCTGATCATACCAGATTTATCGCTGGAATTCATGCCCAATGCCCCAAGTGACTCAGGCGGAGATTTGCCCCTGGCTATTTTGGCATTTTGAGAGATTCCTTGAATCTTGACTTGACTGCCCCAGGTGATGGATAATGATCATGTCGTGCCCCTGGATTGGAAGTGTTTTTCCACTTGAGGTGACCTTTTTGTTGAGAAGATTTTTGTTCACTGGATATTCATCGTGCGAATTTCTCTGCAGTTTGAACAAATAGTCATATGCAAACAATATTATTTCAAGAATGCAAAGCTTATGTCTGTCTTGAAATTTTTTTTTTTGAAAATGAATTTTTTAATAAAGCAAGTGAATTTTGTAAAATGTGATGTCAACTCAGGATTTTACAGCGAGCCTTACAGGAGTCAGGATACCTTTTGTAACAGTATGCTTTCGAACTAACCCATGCTTCAGCTAGGACTTTTTAAGGGTTATAACGTGGCCTGGTTCACGGTTTAAGAAACAAAGGATAAAGGCTCAAATTTATTTGTACCCACCCGCTCTTCGTGATGTTCTTCAAACCTAAACTCAGCTGATCGTGCATTAGACTTTGTTTGAGTCTTTGCTTTGATATTCCAGTGATGGTTCGGATGTTGCCAGTTTATTTTGAATAGGCAGTCAATTCTTTTTGGTTGAGGGTTTGTAGGACCTCTTTCTTTTTTTGATTTTGTTATCCCTGTTTTTTTTGCCTGAACTGTTTCTTTTTGTATTTACAGTCAGCGGGATGCCCCAGTTTTTGTAAGTCTCCTTCATAGGTTTTGACTTATTGGGCTTTAGCTTTTGAAAGATAACGACTGCCTGTCTTTATGATTATTCGGAACCATCACGGTCTTTTGTTTTTGGAAGGACTCATTTGATGCCATTCGTTATGCACCTGGATCAACTGAGAGAACTACCCTGCCCCAGGTTATGATTAAGGGTTTTAATTTTTGAAAAGAAAAACTCCTACTTCTTTGGCTCGAAGGGGTTGACGAGGGATTATCTTCCTTATAACTCCAGTGTTTAGGATTTGAAACAATGCTTGTACCTCATCAGCGGGGTCTATTCAAAAGCATACTGTAAAGATCGTGGTATCGTTTTCGTCATCCTCCCTCAAAAGGCTTAGAATTTTATAATCGAGAGTTGAACATCAAAAAATAAAAGCAATTTTGAATATAGTGAATACGAATGGATTGATTCAAAACAGACATATGCGATGCATTAATGAAATAAAAAGGTTTGCCATGACAATAATGTTTGAACAATCAAAGAAAAATACAACTTGAACATTCGAATGAACAAAAGTTTCTTAGTTTGAACTAGTCATCTCAGATGGGGAATTCTCAGCGGAAGATTTTCATCTCACCATCCGGCATAAACTCCAGCACCCTTCCGTCTATCAAGTCTTGGATCTTGTTCTTCAGACTCCAACAGTTGTCGGTGTCATGTCCCGGACCATCAGAGTGGTATGCACACCTTTCATAGGGATGATAGGTGGGATCAGAGGTGTTGGGATTCCGGGGAGGATCCTTTAATGTAAGCAGGTTGACCTCCAACAGGCGTTTCAGTATCAAAGATGATGGTATCTCAGTCTCAGAGAAATGTCTTCTAGGCGCATTTCGCTGGTGTTGATTACCCTGTTGATGCTGGCGAGGTTGTTGTTGGGCTTGTGGCCCTGAAGCAAGTAAAGGAGCTTTTCCTTTGTCTTCTTGTCTCAAAGGGAGTTTAATGATGACTTGCTCTTCAACCTTAGATGTTTGCCCCAGTTGGTTATTTTGAAGCAGCTTGTTGACGAGGACCCTGAACTCTTCTTGTCTTTGAGATAAGTCTTGGACAAGAGCCATTTTCCCCAGCATCTGGGTTCTCATTGTATCTACCTCAGCTTGCAGACGTTTCAGCCGTTCGTCCTTATCGTCTTCAGGACTGCTCTTGACCAACTTCCCTATGAGGAGTGTTCTCAGCTCTTCCTGCCCCTTGGATAGATTTAGGAGGATTTCCCCGAACTGAGTCTCTTGAGTATGAGGATCTTGTTGGAGAGACATTGCTGAAATAAACAGCGAGAATATGAGAAACCTGTAAAGGGTAACCTGTTATGCAATGATATGTATGTATGCAATGTTTTCAAGGATCTCGCGGGGTAAACAAAGAGACTTGTTAGAATTTGAATTTGGGTAGCTTGATTGAAGGAACTTCATGTTGTTGAGAGTCCTTCTTCAAGAGTCAAGGCTCACCATATCGAGTGGGTCATAGCCCCTGACTTAAGCTGTCATGTTTTGATCTCCGAACAACCTTGGCTAGAGGAAAATAAATCACCTTGCCCCTTGCTAGGAATTTGGTTCATCATGACCTGCATCACAAACCCTTGAGATCTTTTAAATGGGTTAGTCCTTATGCAGGATGTATGCAATGGTATGATGGTATGATGTTATGCTATACGTGTAAGTGAACCCTGTTGTAAGCCCAGATTAAGGACTGTAAACAAAACCTGCAAGGAACTCATGTTATCAGATAACAAGTATGTGCAAATAGTTCAAGTTTGAAAGCACACAAGTCACACAGAAGAGTCCTTAGATTTCAGGCCAGCATGAAGTTTAGGTACTACCCTCTTGAAGCTGGTGGGTTCAAAACCTGTCCTATCAAAAGTAACCGGGTTCTAAGGAGCTCAATATCATTGGGTTGTTTTCTATGTTCATTGTTTTGGTTTATCCACTTAACTGGCGACCAAAATATTCCAAGAAAACAACCCTCAATGAGTGTAGTATCGAGTATCTACCAACTTTGGACTGCACCAAAGTCGGTGATCTCACTACCCCTAAAGAGGCCAGGATGGTCAAGTAAGGTTCTAAGGTCAGTTGATGCTTCATGACACCACGCGGCGGCCCCGTACTCTCCTTGACTTGACTCAAGGGTTACCGGTACTCACCAAAGTGCCACATCAACGTAGCAACTGCTTCAACCGTGTCGGTATACCCCGCACAGTTCCCTCACAGTTTGTTGCTACTTCTAAAAGGTATCCCCCAGATCCGGGTTAGGATCTATGAAACTCCAAGACAAGCCCACAATATTAAAGCAAAAAAAGCAAGCAATTGAAAACAAGAGTGGTCTAATCCTAAGGTACACCTCACTTATTAAGATATCCCCAGCAGAGTCGCCAGTTCTGTGATCGGTGGAAATAGAACTGACTGTTTTGAAATGCTGGTTCGCGAAATGTCGCGGTAAGCAAGAGTCGCCAACGTCTTTTATTTTCTCCAACAAGGAAAGGACAAAAGCACAGCAAAATTCCTTTTCGAGATGTTTCTCGGTTCGAGAGGTAGATTTATAGAAAGGGGAGGTATTAGCACCCTTTCTATCTGTGGTTATCCACGGGCTCTTAGGTACTTGCTCACTATGTTTTCAAAAATTGTTTTCTTTTCTTGTGTTTGTGGGTTTTGAAAAAGTTTAGTTTGAAAAACTTCTAGGTAACTCTTGTATCAGTCCTCAAGAGTGTATGAAGTGTTTGTTTGAAAACTTTTTGAAAGTGTAGGTGCGAAAAGTTGTTTTTGTTTTTGAAAGAGCAAATACCCAGGATAAATCTACCTACTCTAAGGAATTAAGATGTATAAGAGTCCTTTAGACAGTACTATCCCACTATTGAGAAGTAGGTAGCACCGTCGTTGGAATTATTCGGGTCAATTCGATTATAGGGACATGTGTGGTCACCAAAGCAATAGTAGGACACCTTAGTGGTAACCCTAATGTCCTAGATCCTTTTTATCTGAGGCAACCGTTTTGAGGCAACTGGATCTTTAGACAGGAGGGCGACCTCTAAAACACCCTATACTTGATGACCACGTCGAGGCAACCAAGTGAGGCGTACCCTAGGAGTGGCATGTGCATGTGTGTCAGGTTTCATGTTCGAGTTATCTTTGCACATGTATTATGGTGAGCTATGAGTTGGTTTTATTTTCATACAAGTCTTGCATGCATAATTAACAGTTAATAATTGTGCGGAAAATAAATTGCGGAAAATTGAATCTACGCTATTACAAGGCGCGGGTATATACATCGCCAAAAACATAACCCTTTGGAAAATAAATGCGAGAAAAATAAAGAAAGCGATAAAAGCCCTAATTATCTATTACATTCTCGGAGCAGATACATAAATATAATAATGAATTAAAAATAAATATGCGCGCGAAAGAATTGAATCGGGAAAAGTCTTAGGGTTTTGACCCTTTTTGAGAAAAGAATGGAATTTGGTCTTTTTT